GTTGTAAGGGCCTATGAAGTGGAAGCTTGGGGGAAGGGTGTATTCGAACATCGTTGAAGACTATTGGGTTTACACTGGTCCTCCTCCTCCTCCTCCTCCTCCTCCTCCTCCTCCTCCTCCTCGGGATGACGATTCCAGATCTCCGATGCTTTGACCTGCTCTAGACCACCTCCCAAGAATCCCTTCTCTTAGTGGCCCCGGAGCTCGAATGCGGCACGGACAAATTGTCTTGGCCCTTTCCCGGCACGAAAACACCTCCTCGGAGATCCGAAGTCGCGGAAAAATGCACCATCGTGAGGAATCGCAGCCGTAGGCCTCGACCTCATCGCTTCTGAAACAGGCCTCGAGCCAGAGCGATCCGTGCAAGGCCCGGGGCCGCAGCTGGAGCACAACGAACAACCAAAATGTAACGCCCGGAGCTGATCTGATCGGGCGCGGCCTGACCCACCCCTTCTGTGCCGAGCCCCGAACGGGTCGATTTGGTGGGGTCGGTAATTTTGTCAAGACGTAGGAATCCTGCCACTTGACGCATCTTTGGAAGGAAAAACTGGAAACGACGTCCGACTGCAAATATTGCCCCAATCCGACAGCGGCGACTGTTGGACAGGCTATCTTCCGCCCCGAACGAACAAAATCCGCGGCGACACCAACAGCGAACCCTGTTCAAACTGCTGCCAGCCTACGTCCCCGCTCTTCCCATACCCCGCGGAATCAAACAGGGCAATCTAACACGATATGCCGAACCGTCGTGGCTACAGCGTGCTGGCTGACCTTTCCTTGGCGCATCGTTGGTTCCAGACGCTCCCCTGAAGCAGTGCGCGCGAAACGACACGGCGGCAGGCCCAGGCGGGGGAGCACGCGATACATCGCCGGCTGGTCGGCAGCATATCCTCGACAGCGAAACAAGTCGGGCCACCCAGGCACCCATCGGCGAAAAAGGGGCGAAGGGGCCGATGTTTCCCCCGTGATGACAGGCCCTATGGGGTCCGAGCTAATGGCCGGGAAGATCGCGCCGCATCGCCGACGCATCATCGTCGACATCGGCGATGCATCAGTGACGTCGGCGTGGAAAACGTCGGGCCCCACATCGAACCGCATCGGCGATGCATCGGCGATGCGGCGCGGCCCTCCGAACCCGCCCGGTCGGACCTCATCTGTTGGCACGGGGGAAACGTGTCCTGAGGGAAACGGGTCCTGGACCGTGGAGCCGAGGACGAGATCTTCCTCAGAAGCCGTTTTCTGACAGTCCCGGGGCCCGCGGAAGGCCCCGGGAAGCCGAACGCATTGAGAGACCTCAGGACATGTTTCCCGCAGAACCCGCTTCCCCCGCGGCGAAGCTGGGAACCCTGGCTCGGCGGCAAAAGAGGGGGGGGAATGAAAAGGAAAAACCCTTCTCAGAAGGCGGCGGGACTTCTCAAAGCCCTCGCGCCGTCTGAAAAAATGATGTCTGGCGAAGAATGACACGCAAATACAAACTCGGAGGTCCGCGTGGATTTTTCGGATCCGCGCAGGACTGTTAAGGACCGATAATACGACAAACGCGCTGACCCCCCCTTCGCGACAAAGGTGCGTCGCGCATTCGTCGCCCGTGCGCCGGCCGCCGAAAAGGCCAGCCGTCCTCGCGAACGTGCACGCCACTTCGCTGAGGGGCAATTTGGCGAGTGCGTCGCCAGCGCGGCGGGCACCCACGGGGCGGATCGCACGCGCGTTGCCCGTTCCACGGCCGCCGAAAAGGCCGGTCGCCTTCGGGAGAAACAAAGTCGCCCGCGCAGCGGCCCCCTTGGCGAGAAGGTGGCCGCTGGGCTACCTCGGCAGATCAACAAATCCCTCGAACATGACAAATACCGCGATGTTGCTGAACACATTCCGGCGCTAGGCCAACAGGTCCCCGCAGCCGCCGCCACAGCCGCCGCCAGCGCCAGGACTACCACCGCCACGATCACCACAACCGGCCGCGACCGCAACCACGTCCACCGCGACGATTACGACCGCCAACACTTACCGCAACCACCACCACGACCACCACGCGTCCCGCGACCACCACAACGACCGACACCAGCGCGATCACCGACGTGACCACCACCAGCCCGCCCACCGCCAGCAGCACGACCACCACCAGCGCGATCAAGGCGACGAACGCGACCGCGACCATGATCACCAACATGACCATTACAGAAGCACCCGCCCACTCCGTCCTCCCCCATCCCCCCCCCATTTCCCAGC